TGCGGCCTGGGCTGCCCCGGTCTCCCCGGTGACAGCGCCCGCCCGGGAGAGCTCCACCGGCTGGGGGCGGGGGGGAGAGAAATAAAATAAAATAAACCAAAACTTGTGCTGGCCCCAGCACCTCGCAGGTTTCCGCGGGGGTGGGGGAACCTCACTGCTGCTTTTCGTGGGGCCGGGCTCCCCCGAACACTCGCCTGGAGCCGTGCGGGGGGGGCGGGGGGAGGGTGCAAAAGTGCTTGGGGACAGTCCGGGAGGGGGAAGGGAGCGCTGAACAGCCCCACACTTATCAATAACAAGATGTATAAATATCAAAGTGAAGGAGCCCGAGTAAGTCTTTCTAGAAGCGAGGAGGAAGCTTAAGCAGCTTTCTTTAATGGTGATTTGTAGCTCTGTAAGGGGCACGGATAGCAAATACCCTGCAGGTGCATGTTGTAACACTGCCATCCGGACTTTAATGTAGATTACTCTCCAACTCGTTTGATCGGTCCTTTGAAACCCTTTACAATTGCCTGTGACGAACCGCCAGTCTCAGTTTTTTTTTTCTTTGAATAATGCCTTAAGGGTAAGTCCTCGGGGCTTTTAAAGATCTCCAGCACATTTTAAAAAAATCACGTTACATTTTTACTTTAGAGCGTGGGTCCATGTCTCTCAACTTGGGGCTGTTAACAGGCATCTTTTAAATCATTAATCATCTAATAGCCACCAACTTTACTCTGGAGGGGAAACACAGGGATCTTCTAAAGGCCTCCAAACATTTCTATAGCTTTTGGGATCATCCTGGTTAAAATTTAGGAGGCAAACACCCCATCCCTCCTGCTGAAGCCCTGGAGCTGGTGGGTCTCCGGTGTTCGTGGACTCTGCTGAGTTAATCTGCGTGGAAGGCCTTTCCTCTGGCCATCGATAAACCCCCGGTTTAGGGAGCAAACCCGAAGGGTGCTGCAGGGGAGCAGCCCGGTTGGAGGGCGGGAGGGTCGGTGGGACAGAGAGGAGGGACCCCCCTCCTGGGCCCTCCCGCACCCTGCCCCTGCCCTGGGACCTCCACCCGCTGCTGTGCCGGTGCCTCCTAGCAATCAGGGAGCATTTTTGGGGGAGAGAAAAAAAAAAAAAAAAAAAAAAACCCGGCAGATGTTTCCACTCTCTCCGCAAATAACATTTAACCTTTAATATTTATTCGTTACTATTAATTCAAAAAAATAATTACTGAACTTCTGCCCTTCAACTTCTACAAGCGGAGCTTTGTTTCTCTAAAATAAACTTGGGAGAAGCGATCCCTCCGTATCAAACTAGGGATTTGAATTAAAGGCCCATTTGGGACACTTGAGACTACAAAGGGTTACACATAAATAAATGCCACATTTGCCTATTGCAAAAGTTTTCTCTGTCCTTTCTCAGTCACAACAGGGGAGGAAAAAGCCGTCGTTTATTATCTAGCGCTGGGCAGGAGCAGCCCCTCCAGAATGTGCTCTTAGATTTGGCCGCAGAAGAGGGACTCTTTTTTTTTTTCCCCCCCTCAACAGCAGCTCCTTTTGTTCTCCAGATCTCTTTCCCAATTTCAAGCTTCACTTGCAGATCCTAAGTTTGTTTGTTAATGACGCTATTACCATCTGGCTCGTCCTACTTTCCAAAAGATATAAATCTCCCCAGTTTCATTGCCTACATTATCATTTAAGTGCCACCATAGCTGGAAGAAAAATATGCTTTCAAGGCTGCAAATTCTCTTGCACGGAGAAACTTCCCGGGCGCGGAGCTGCCGTCCGCCCCGCCGGGCTGCGGGCCGCCTGGCAGGGATGGCTCCAAATGGATTTCACCTCGCAGCAGTGCTGGGAGAGGGGGAGACAGCACGATTTCAGTTTTACACCAGAAACTTAAGTGAACCTCCCCCCGCCCCGTCGCCCCTTTTGTGGCTGTTTAATGCATCTGGCTACTTTGAACCGTTATCTTCGGCGGGGAGAGGGATGCCCGCCCGCCCGGCGCGGAGAGGGCAGGATGGGTCCTGCCCCTGGCAGGCTCCTCTTTTCCCTTACCCAGCGTGAACCCCCGTCTCTCTGCCATAAGTACATATTCCATACGTGTGAATAAACCTTTCCCACAGGCGTCGTACAGTAAAGGGAAGAAAAGTTTGGGCTCCTCTTAGTGCAAAGCGGTTGCAGATTTGTACTAAGAGGAGCCCAAACTTTTCT